CTCTTCTGGAAGAAAAGTTGCTTTATGCCTTCACACTAACTTTTCGCCTTTGAGGAGATGGGGACAGGAGGAAACCTGATAACAGGGGACGGTGGCTGCAGTGGTAGTTGGGTGTGAGTTTCTGCAGCAGACTGTGAAGTCTGTATTACAGGGCAATTACTTGCCCTGTGGGTAGTAGACACTACTAACCAGTATTTGACTTGCCTTTAGGTGCACAGTCCACAAGCAGAAAAACAGGCCCATGCTAGCACAATCACAAACCCCTTATCCAGTTCTTCTGATCCCTGACTAGACATCTCCATCCTGACACTGACCTGTGCGATTGGCCCATGTTTTCATCATGCATCTCAACTTTAATGAATATTTACTGAAACCTACAGCACAGCTGGTGGATGATAGCCAAGCTGACAGTCTTGTTTCTGCTTTTCTATTGTTTGAGTTTTGTCAGTTGAGTCAACAATGTTATGATATGAGAAAACAAATGCCACAAAAGGCGTCTTGTCATGGGTTTAAACAAAAGACGTGGGTCTGGTGCTTATGATGCAAACAAGCGTGCACAAAAAATAACAAGGGGAGCAAACAGACAGCTGCACAAGCCCATATTTCCCCTAACAGAGAGAAGTAGGTCCTCTGTTTTTGGTGGCAGGCAACAGGCAAAAATAATGAGTAACAAAACTTGGGACAGTCACACGCACTCCAAACTTTTCCATAGCATATACATAGCACAGCATCAGCTGCACAAACAGCAAGACAGTGACTTATTGCATTTGGCCTCACTGTCTAGACAGCACTCTCCTATAGTGTCAGCTGAGCCTTTCAACCACATGGAACGCATTCCCAGCGAGGTAACAGCTGACTCAAGATGCAGAGCAAAAACGACGCACGGCTTGACCACACACAAGCTAAAATCCCTGTCATTTTGGGGTGGGGGCTCTCAGCTGTCCTTCTTATTTGGGACAGAGGAGAGGCTAGGGTGGGCATCCGGGTGTGGCACAGCAAACTTTGAATCCTGACAACGTTTGAAATGCCTGTGAGTTGATCCCAACATTCCCATGACCATAGAAAGTCCACGAAAGGAATTATGACGATGTAACTTTTTCTTAAACTTACATCATATCGAAAAACTAGATGGCAATAAGTGAAGTGCATACAGTTGCTTAGACAGATCACTTTCACATGCCAGATTTCGCTGTTATTATTAACGGGGAAAGAACTGTAAAATTATACTTTCAAGCATTTGTCATAGCGCCACATTGAAAATCAAATCTATACTTAAGTAGCTGTAAGTGCTGCCCTTCTTCCACTGTACAAAAGTTCTGAAAAAATAAAAAAATATAAATTTACGCCTTAAATGGAAATTAGCTCTTAAGTACCTTCATGCTGTTTGATTGGGCCAATTATAGAGGGCCAGCTTTATTCTGTCTGCTGATAAGCAACAAAGTTGGATGGTGTTACTACAACTACTTAAAACTTTTCTCTTTCAATCAAAATCACTGTAATGAGCCACGATAACAGGCTGTTGTTTGAGTGTCTCTTCTGACTTGAAACCGCTGGTCAAAAATAGCATCAGAAATCTCACTAAAAGATAAGGACGAGTGAAACAAGAAAACATCTACAGGCAGATAGAAACGAAATGGAGGAGGATGAAGGAGAAAGAAAAGGCTCATCATACCACTGTTTTTGCAAGTTTTACTTATTTTACTAAAAAGTGTGTTTACTGGTATACTGCTGACCTTTTTCCATAGCATGGTATTTTAACTTTTTGATTGATTTTTTTCCTGTCCGGTCACTGGTTTTCATCTATTTCTGTCTGGAATTATTGTTGTGTGCATGTTTAAAGCCTGCCATTATATTTTCATACCATACAGAAATAAATGGATATAATTCTAGGCTACTGAAACATGGCAGACCCCGTAGAAGAGGATCTGCTGCCTCTGTAAAACAAATGGAAAAAATAGCTAATTTTAAGGTAACAAAAGCACAATTCTTATTTTCAGGTGATTATACACTAATGAAAACATACCTATTAATATTATATTCCATTTCTGCCAATAGATCCTCCTAAATTTTACACACTGGACCTTTAAGCATCTGACTTTAAGGTTCATGGGTCTGTGTGATTCTGTTAAACAAGAGGCCACACCCCACTTTTACCCAACCCTTATGAAAAATTAATCATATTTTTCCTATTCGCAACCAACCATCTGGCATAAAATTGTGCAAATTCATTCATAACATGTTCAGATATAGTGTGAACAGGGTGAAAAAAGGTACCTGTCCTAGTGGGTTGGCAGAGCTCATCACAATACGTATATAAAAACCCATCATGAGAAATGTGTGAATAATTGCAGGTGGCAGAATGTGCATCTTGTCAGACATAAGCTTTAAAGATTTTCCTATGTAAAGCTGCTCTGAGACCAGCTGATAAACAGGGCAATGGAGATGAGGAGCAGCTCATCCGAACCCAGGGCGGCTGCAGGCTGCTCTCCTGTCAGCCCAGTAAATGGAAACCACTCAGGCATTTCACAGTTAAACCAGCCAGCCACGCACATATTACATGTCAATTTAGTTATACAAACTGGGACGTTTTGAGTACCATAGGTTGGCTCCTAGTTTCAAACACACTCTTACACAAACAGAAGCACATCCCCAAAAAAACAGCACACTGTGTTACCCCACACAGAAAAGGCATGACATCGTTCTCGCTCTCTGTGGGGGAGAAGGAAGACATCCTGTTTGTAAAGCTAATAAAAAGTCGTTCCTTCAGGCAACTCTTTTTATATGCTTTATATCATAAACCCTGGTGCCACAAATAAGCACATGCACGCGCACTCACTCACACCTGGTTGCAAACTCAGCAGCATAAATAACCCCGATATAAGATTGTGTAAGAGGTCCCTCTGGGCTTAACAATGACTGATACAGTCTCCATCTTACACAGCTGTCATCCACCTTTGTTTTTTTTTTACAAATAAATGCAAGTGCAAACACGTACAGTATGGCGGCAAAACCAGATCACACAAAAGGCAGACACAAGCACAATCTCTCTTAATGCTTGCACATGCACACTATGGAGAGGGATAAACAATCAATGTGGATATAACATTCTGTTGTGATGCGTTATTAACACAGTAGCACCAATACTGCATTACTGGAACGTAGTTGTATCCTTCATTTACTTAGAACCTGTAACCACCCTTTTTGCCAGTTATGATATAATAGTCTTTACAATATATTAAGATGACAAATGCATAGATGTTGCTGTGTATGTTAAATACAGGCAATGTTGCACGCAGCTTAATTCAAGTTAAATAACACTTCTTGAAACTGAAAGCTTTTTAGTCTAGTGAATAAAAATGTGATTCGCTCTTGCTTTTGAGAAACATTTTGCCGTTTTAGAGGTATGTTTGATATTGGGATGCAGCTGGTGATTGCAGGGCTGCTTAATTTCGGCATTGTTCAATCTACTGATTCATTGTTTGAGCTATAAAAAGTGGAAAAACACACATCACAGGGCCCAATGTGACATCTTCAAATGCCTCGTTTTGTCCAACAATGCAGCCCCAAAGATTCGGTGTACTATCTAGAGAGGAAAACTGAAAATATTAACATTGAAAAGCTATAAAACGACTTACAAATGAAATCAAAGTTGTTGCCAATTAATTTCCTGTCGATCAACTGATTTTTCATCTCAGGAGGATTTATTTGCAGCCCATCACGTATGGCAGAATTGCCGGCCTGATATCACTGATGATGCTGTCAACCTGTCATAGCCTAATAGCATTAGAAAATATTCCCTTTGTGATTTGTGTCAATGATCCACACAGACACACCACATAAGACAAAACCTCTTCCCCAACACCTGAACTGTTCTTCACCACCTCAAACTGCCTCCCATCTAACCATATGATTCATGATTATTATGTAATATGAAAACCCTCCCTTATCCAGCCCACACTGTGTGCAGTCTTCTCCACTGTACACAGAACAAAACATCTCACATCTTCATTGGACAAAGAAAAAAAGTCATTTACAGCTGCCATCAGTGAAAGTCACTTCTGAAGCGCTGTAAAGGGACTTGAAGCAAGGCGCAGACTGGTAATCCTCTTGGCCGAGTGGGGGCCTCCAGCGGGCCGACTTCCACTCCCACTCCCACCCCCCTCCTCTGTCCCCCGGCAGCGCTGACAGGCCTCCCCATCCAGGAACAGAAAAGCCATCTGGTGTTTGTTTGGGACAGTTCACAGGCAGGATGTACTGTGTTGTGTCGCGTGCGTGTGTGTCAGCAATCATGCCTGTATTGGGTGTGTATGTATGTGTCACTAAGTGTCATCGGGTGAGCATGCTTGAACTTGCATTTGTCTGTGAAATCCATCAAATTGCAGGTAAGTGAGAAATGTGTGAGGACCGAACACACAGTGGCTTTACCTTGAGGGATGACTTACTGTACAACAACAAAGCTTGTACTAGGTGTCTTCACACCCACTGGATGACTTCATACCCTGGGGGTGTTGGTGATGCGTGATCCAGGTGTGTCTATGATGTGTGCTTGTACCCCACATAGGCTTACTGTATGCATGTGTTTAATACGTGTGTGTGGGTTGGTTAATTACACACAATAGCAGGTTCCCTGTGATCAGCCTTTAAACACAGGAGATCAGACTGCATAGGGTTAATCTGTGACTAAAGTCCAAATATCACATTAACCTAGTTCAGAACACACACACACACACACACACACACACACACACACACACACAGCTGTTCACAGGCATCTGCCATTATTGCAGTGATTATCGATGTAGCCTACTTCCACCTGACTCACGATGACTGGTAGGCTGGTAGTTGCTTTCCCAAACTAACCCCCTTCAGATTCACGTGTGTCATACAGGTGTGCCGTGGCTGACACACAGCAGGTCTGGATTTACCTCGTTAATCTAAACAGAGTGGGAGAATTTCACAGCGCAAATGAAGGCTGAAAGCTTTTTCCTATGATCACTTACCGAGCAGCGCGCAGGCGAGCAGGAGCGCACCGGTTGCCATTCTGTGTGTGTGTGTGTGTGTGTGTGTGTTGCCCCGCAGATTCACTTCCAATATTCCCTTTAGATGAGGAGGAGGTGATGATGATGATGATGTCTGGTCGGGTTTTGACAATGTGATCAAACCGGTGGTCCTGAATCAGAAAGCAGGAGATGGAGAGGAGAAAAAAAGAAAAAAAGGAGGTCTACGAATCCCGAGCGACAAAAGCGGCCGGGGTTTAGAGTCAAATCCACAACCGGTGAGTCCGGCGGTGTCCGACTCACCTCTCCGGTGTCCTCCTGCTTGTGGTGGCGGAGGGGGGGAGGAGGAAAAAAATAAAAAAAACAAAGCTTCGGGTGTCTCTCCCCCTCGCTTTCACCCTCACCTATCTGCTTTTATCGCTGACGACGTGCGCTTATGTGCCAGGCGCCTGAGCGACCCAACCCACTCTCCGTTTACTACGCATCCGAGACTGCGGAGGCGATTCAACACTCACAGCCTCCTCGGGGGAAAAAAAGACACACACACACAAAAAAAAGTCCAGCGTGACTTGCGCTTATTTTGGAAAACCTGCTTTAGAGACAGGACACTAAATGAATACAGGCGATCTGGGAGCGCTGGTGCTATAGAGTCTGAAATTAAGTCTTTGCTATGGTTTTTCTCCTCCCCGTCACTGATGGGTGGGAGAGCAAATCCGCGGTCCAAGCAGGCTCTGTCTCTCTCTCTCTCTCTCGCTCTCCACGGAAATCCCGGAGACTCTAATCAATCTCCCACTATCGCTCCGCAGAAAGCCCAATGGGCGGGCGCTCTAGATGAGGCAGACAAGGCTTTGTGCTCTGACACAATACATCAGATTAATCAATGAACACTTTCACTTCCAAAAAAAAGCCCACCGCTCTCTCTCTCTCTCTCTCTCTCTCTCTCTCTCTATTGTAGCACCAATGCACCTGAGCCAGTGTGTCCTCTTTCTAAAACGCGCCTAGGTGTCTACAAAGAGGGACGGCCTAACAAGGACATAATAAGATACTTTAGTTAAAAACACCGCTGCTTAATTCTAATGTGTCTGACAGCGCTGTGATCCGGTCCCAGGGAGAAACCGTCCGCCGCCGCCACCGCTCTTCCAAGGTTATATCCTTGTTTCCCGACTTCCTGTTCGCCACTTTGTGTTTGCATGGCAGTTTTGAAAACTTAGCAGCGTGCTGCCTGTCTGCCCCCACCCACCCCGTATCAGACCACGCCCCGGCCGCGTGGGGGCCGTGGGACACCAGCGTCTACAGTGGGTGAGGCCGCATTTGCATGTGTGAATTTTAAATTCTAGGGCCGGGACGTTGATGGTTTGAATAGGTTAAGCGAAGTGGAGGGTAATTAAGCGTCTAAAGCTAGCAATTTTCTCAGCTTTTATTTTTTATTTTTTGCAGGGTAGAGTTTAACCACCTTCTTGAGGCTGACACCACTCACATTATACTGCATATTAAGTGTATAATGATAGGGCCTTTCAAAGGAAAAAGAAATAAACCCTGGTTTTTAAAACTAGACTGTTCATTTATGGTGTTTACTTGTCTCTTGATGATCACAAAAGTCACCTTCTCATACATAATTTACCCAGCAGTCTCTGTGTTATTGACACAATATGCACCCCCCCCCCATACACACAACTGGCAGTCAACATAATGAGGTGTCACTCTGCTTGGGAACTGTAGGAAATATCAGAACAAACACTTTTTTTTCTCCAGCACATCATCTGTCAAAGGTTGCAAGTTGCAAATTCCACCCCTCTTTGATTCAGATTATAAGTAGCTAAACCAAACATTACTTTGACATATGCTCAAATTTATTTATTTGCACGACTCTGCTGCCGCAATATTAGGAGGATCTCAAAATAGACAGGGTGAATGGGAGTTAGCAGGGAAACATAAAATAGCACAATGAGATAATGCTGCTTTGGTGTGAAGCTGTGAAGTTGCATTTCTATCTGGAAGGGACAGAGATATAGAATCCAAAAAGCTCTAACTTAGTGAAAACCAAAGCTTCCTCCTGTGTAATACATAAATAAATGAGCAGGTCTTTGCATGTGTATACAAAAAGTAATTGCAATGGACCCATCTGGTATTCTCTTTATCAACTGGGAATTTCACACTGTCTGAATGCAACATGAATACAATTTTTTGGAAGCAGTAAAAATGATTCTTCTCCTTCTGCTGCGCCCATGGATTTCAACTCAGATAAAACTTCCTGAGCAACCGGTGAAATGGGTCTGTGCCCCCGGGCACCGAGAGAAATGTTTGCAGAATACAGTATGTTAACCTTGCATCTGAATAACGGTTTAACCAAACAATTTAATGAAAAAATAGAATCTTTTTGTCCCTCCTTCTGTCTAAAACTATGTCATGGTATTAACAGAAAAGAGAGACAGCTTTTAGAATGTTTATATAGAGAAAACAAAGGCTTTAGCAGACATTGCTGCCAACAAGAAGTAAGCCAGAATGGGATTAGACACTGGTATGAACATGTGGGCTATTGGTTCAGCTTCTCCAAAGGGCTATCCAGGTCCAACGCAGCTGAATTAATACACAGCTAAGCAGAGCCAGCTAGGTAGGCCATGTGCATTACACCTGGTCTACATATTGCAGCACCTAAATTTAGCTCAGTTCTCCACAGACTCCTCATTGCATAGACAAGAGATGGCACAGTTTGCACAGGCACAGGCAGCTAGAAGGCAGCTGTAATGTCGTTTGAGCCCGGCATCGTGTTAGCACTGAAGATGAGATCACCTTTGACCCCTCACACCAATTTTGGCGACTATCAAGTATGTTTGCTTAGAGAGAAAAAAAGCCTTCAGAGGAATGTTTGCAAGTATAGTGGGTGCTGGGGATCACAATAGGTCTCCATGGAAACAGAGGAGTCTGCATTGTGTGCACTTCATAACAGGGTCCATCACCTAGATAAAGTCTTGATAGCCACAGCCTTTTTTGTCTGTGTCTTGCGTAATTGTTCAGCACTGTTTGAGATTCGTACAGGCTCACTTTTATATCTTAATATTTCCATACCCTTACAGCAATATGAGCTGGTGTCAGCAAGGTTAGATAGGATAGCTCTGAGAGGCTCGCCGTGGAGAAAGAGAGAGATTTGTTCACTTATTTCATCATACACACATTTTCATCGTACATCCCAAAAGTATATGAATGATTTATTGGAATTCTCTGTGCATTTTTATCTAGTCTCACATGAATATGTCAGTTTTACACAGAGGATTGTGTAGAGGCAAATCACATGCAAACACATACACGTTCAGATGCATACTGCATAGAGATGTGTCACTTCAAATTACAGAGGGATGTTCCTCATTGTGACACTAAACGTACATGTGAAAACATATGTAGCCTTCCACACAAACATGGAAACACATGTTAATACACTTTGATGAATCCCACATTTAAGCTGGGGATACAATGAGTCCTGTTTACATTAATGATATCTGAATAAAACAATCATAAATAAATAAACAAAAGCTCTTCTGTTCTGATGGAGTCAAAAAGAAATAAAAAAAACATTTGAAACTATCTAAGAAGCTTCCCTAAGAGGACTGAGAGGGAGGGGGAAATAATCCAGATGGGAGAAAACAGGGGAACAGAGAAAGTGTTACATTTAATTGTCAAAAGTTATGTTGCAATATGTGGTTCATCTGAATTAAACATGAGTACAAGAGGGGTTATGAGGTAAAGAGGATTAGACATTGCATATTATGGAGAGAACAACTATTGTGCAAAACTACTTTGTAACCCATAAACAAATATGGATAGACTCTCAATCAAAACTAACAGTAGTCTCCTAATCCATACACATGTGGCAGGTTATTATGTTCTGATTTTACACAGCTTCTGTGAGCACAGCGTATAGTTACAGGTACCAAATTGACATATTGTATATAGGTTTTGACAGTAAGCAGACTGACAGACAGCAGGCAGAAGGCAACACTCCAGCTGGGACCAACTAGATTCAAGAATGCCACTCTTCTATCTAGGATTTAATGTGAGCTGAGTCACTACTCACTACACACAGTCGAAGTAATACAGTCCAATTTCTCACGCCACACTTCACATCGACTCGGGAGGTTACACTCTGCATTGTCAGATAACCTTTGATTATCTACAGCTGAGGCTGGTGCAGTCAGATATGTAATTTTGCCTTTATGTGATAAACCAAGTCTCATGCGCAGGCTGTTTTTAAAAGCTCATCCAAACTTAAGGTTGCGCACAACAAACTTGTTATATACATCCATTGTCCCCTGTCACAGGGCTTTATTTTACATTGCATTAGCCTGCCAGGACCACAAATCTCTACATTTTCTAGCTGATTAATTATTCATCACTGTGGCCTCTTAATGTAGAGTATTAATATGAAATGACTGTCAAGCTACCAATTTTTCTCTTCTATCTGTCTGTGTCTGTTTCCATCCCTCACTTCTGATAGTCTTTTTCTCTCCCTTTCTTTGTAATTTCTGTGCTCGTGTCTTTTTTTCCCCTTTCTACTTGAAAGCTCTGATTGCAATGATTGCTTCATAATTATATATGCCGGTACTTATGTGTGAGTCTGAATGTGTGTTCATTTTTGTATGTGCATGTCATGTGTTTTTTTCAATGAATTCAAAGATTTTTGCAGTAGACATGCATATAAGTAAATTCACAGGATTTCAATAGCCCACAGGTTTTCAGTAATTACTACACTTGAGTGAAAGCATCCACTGTTTTCCTTGTACCTTTGCAGGTGGTTGTAATGACATTAATATATGTTTATTACATCTCCTTTGTTTTCAAATTACAGCAAAGCTGGCGCTGCAACAAGGGCCAAATGTCATGTGCAATTTTCATCATTAGCTGACAGGTGGTTGCAAGATTACTGTAGCAGAATATGACAATTAAAGGCTTTTGAATGAAGTGAACAAATACTTGAACATCTGAGTGACAATAGATCCTTTCACTTAGTCTGCATAGGCTTACTATAGGTATTATTACACTGTGTTACACCAGGCATTAATATACACACTTTGTCAGCACCAGGGCCACCGGGTCACACTGTATAACAGAACAAGTCAAGATACAATTATAACAGTTTCTGGCAGCAGTGTGGATAAAATCCCCGTGTCATGAAGGACATCTGTGTACACTTGTTCTTTCGCTGCATGAGGCAGAACTAATTTTCTGGGATCTTCATTAAAAATAATTTTAGTAAGTTTCACATGCTTGTGTTGAATTCATGTCTCCTCTTCTCTCTGTCTGTCTGTCTTTTGTCTTTCTTTCTCATCTTGATTATGTGGGTGTTGCCCACCGTGCAAACACAGCTGAATGTCATACATTATTCATTTGTAGTGCATGCCGGACAAAGCGACACATACAAACATGCACGCACATGCACACACGCAGAGAAGCTGTACTCTTAGGGAATAGCTCATGGCGGCAAGGGCACGAAGGTGAGCTTAGCTACACTGTGAAGATTGTTCGACTTTACGCCCCAAAACACCAACCACATTACACAACACACACACATTTCATCATCATCCCTCGCAGGTACAGGCTTGTCCTTTATGCTGTTGGGTAACAACAACAAAGCAGATGCTATCTATCAACTCCAGGCTGAAAAACACAATTTGCTTTTTCATGGTCACACTTACTGGAGCTTTGGCTTTGTGTATGCAGAACAAGGTAACTCATTCTCACTACACACCCCTGTAAAACTGACATGACTCATGGCTGTAAGAGGAAGTATGTGGGCAAAAAAGGCTTTTGGAAGCACAGTTAATACGCCACCAGATTACTGAATCACAGCATTATCCAAGCTGGTAACAAAAGAGGGGCACTGCGTGTGGAATTGTATTAATTTTAATAGATAGATGATATGCTGAGTGCTGATGTTTACTTGTATTCACCTATCTCCTTTGCTTTTATAGTGTATGTTTCACAACATAATTTCATTAATTTAAATAATGAGCAATGGAATCCAACACTACTGTAGTTGGTTGTACAGTAAGTTCATTTTAATGAGGTAGAAGTAAAGTCCAGAGAAATTGCAGGGTAGTTCTAACTGTGATCGTAGCATTTAAAGAGATTTATGTAACCATAAGATCTTAGGTTCATTCTGAATTTGTTACTCTCCCTTCA